AATCAAAAGAAAAAATACAGTAGACTGCAGGAAGTCTCTCGCCTTTTTTTTTAAAGTTGTAATCAGGGCTTTAGGAGAGAGCTTAGGAACAGAAATTATGTTTGTAGCCGACAGTGAATCTTGGCAGCAAATGAAAGCGTAAATTGCGTACACATACAATCATAACAGATGCGAGAAGGGGTCCCCTATCCCCATTATTGTTTAGCTACCAACATATAAACTATAGTAAATGTGCGTCGCCACACTGTAAACTGTTTAAAAATAGTTTTCATGTGTTGTAAATTTTCTTCATGCCAGCTTTGTTTCATATTGTACTTTCTGAATCTGTGGCATTGGACTTTAACATGGAATCGTGGTAGCTGATAGAATTGTTTACTCCGTTTCATGCAATTTTGAAATAGCAGGCCTGATCGGCCTGGTGAGAGAGACGTTCTGCGGCGCACGTATTATTTGTCACAAGGAAGAAACCTTAGAGATGGGCGCAGCATCGCGCGCCGCGCCCGCGCTTTAATTTTCAACGAGGTCATTCGCATGGGCGGCGCCCTTTGGCACGGCCGGCCCGCTCGCGAGGGCAAGGTGATGGCCGGCGACGCGTGCTGCGGCAACCGGCAGGCACGCGAGAGGTGGCGGAGGGCCCTAAATAGCGCGGTGTGAGTGGCAGGGCTGGGGGGGGCCGGGCGGGGTGGGATGGGGCGGGCGGGGCCGAGTTGGGTGAGTCACGTTCGCGTGGCTGCCGGTCGACGCCCGCGCGGCCCCACATGAGAAGCAGGCGACCGTCGTAGGCAGCACAACGCGGCCGTATGCAAATGTGGGGCCAAATAATCCCTTCATTTTTTCTCGCGAGACGTCATTTCAAATTTTGCATGTAAATTGCGGACCGAACCAATCCAGGTGAGGAAAAGGACTGACTGAGTAGGTCAGGGGGCCGCCTCATCCTCGCTGTTGTCCAACTTTAGCTTGCGCCTTATCGTAAACCTTCGAGACTCGTTCTTATATCGAAATCAAAAGCAAAGAAAGCACTAGAAGATTGTCCAAATTTCATGTTTAGCGTTATAGAATATTATCAGAGTAAAAGAAGTATATAAAAATAGCTTGACAAGTAGCATTCATTCAATCAACGAATGATTCAATTGAATGAAACCAACTATAACCAAACCATATTTCGAAAGAAATGTTCTAGCCCTAAGAGTGGAACGCAGGGTAGAGTTGTGTTTGAAAAGTAATGGCTTCGAAAATGAAAATTTTATTCTAAAGTAAAGTGTCACCTTCCACTTTTACCTGGAAGGGGAAGAGGTAGTCGGTTCCCAATTAACGTATGCCCTTCTCTGGGCCGGTCCTCAATTTGCATGTGGTTAAACCCTTATTTTACTTCTGTTCCAAAGTTGCATACGCCGCACAAGCCAGAGAGCCTCCTCACGAGCAATTGTCAACTTGTCTATACTTCATTATTTTCTTAGAAATACAGTAACTTACAGAACAATGGAAGGATAAAGATTTTCCAAACTAGTTTTTATCCTTAACATATTGCATCTCCTAAAGATATCACCCAAAGAAATCTTCCAGAACTCTGAATATATTTGGTCGTCGAAATCCTCTGGCTTGTAATACGTACTCTTGTCTTAATGATGAGAATGGAAATACCAATCCGAGTGGATTGTTGTGAGTTTCGCAAGTACTGCTAGAAGAATTGTTTCTGACACACACCAACAATAAGGAAATCGTAAAATTGATATATTTAGACTTAGTTATTCTGATGATAATTTCAAGCTCTGAGAAGTAGCTTATTCGTGACAGTGATACTTCTTCAGCAGATCCAGCAAAGAAGTATAAACGGACACGGTTGAATCAAGAGAACTCCTGTAATGTTCTCCAATTGCACTTTATCATGAAGATTCTGAATGTATTCATGTTCCTCAGCTCCTAACAAACTATACATTTTTGGGAGTTATTATAGATGCTAACCACATCAACTGTAAATTTTGAATCTTATCTTAGCTCGAAATGCTCTTTCAAAACAAGTAAATTTGGAAAATTTATCATGATATATCCTTACAAGTTTTTCATGAACAAAATTAATAGGTTAAAAATTACATAATTCGTAATGTTATTTATGATGAGGGAGCGGATTTCTATGATTTTGCTTTTTTTCCTGGTATTACAGGGCTTATCTAACAGCGAAGTGAATTTTTTTGACATTTGATTAAAATTGGATGCTATGTAGACTAACACGTTAATGCACATTGTATATATTTGGCCGATTTTTCCTGTTGGAGTATACTCGTATAATTATAGACGCATATTTGTCAAGTTTTGTTAAAATAAAGACATATCTCTGAAACGTTTCATCTTTTCATAAAATCTATTATTCATTTGGAAGCGCTCATTGATTAGAGTGAACTTATCACGGTTTGCCTTTTTTTGCTATAAATATGATAAAAACTTGCGCAAGTGTAGGATATTTCTTGATATATTTTTAAACCAGGTAGAAGAATTAAACAAGACATTCAATTTACCTCAGTAAGGTGAATATTAACTACAATATTTCTTCCAGAAGAAAAGATATATTATTATTTGCCCAAAAAAAAATATTTCCATTCCAAGCATTGTTAACGTATTGCACAACGTGGCAAGTAAGGCACCGCACAGGCCCCGAGCGTGTAAGATTACGCGAGGTCCCAGACGCCGGGGGGGGGGAGGGGGCGGAGGTGCCCCGAGGTAATTTGGGAACTTCCAAGAATCCACGGGGAGGGGTGGCCAAAACGGCGTGACGGAGCGGCCGTCACGTGGCGGGAGTCTCCGCGCGATCCCAAGAAGACATCGCATGTGACGTGGGGGGAAGGTGCATACGCGAGAGTGCAAGACGCACGGGTGGGCTGCCTTCGTAGCCTACTGTGCGCGCCACTTTATATCAGAGTCTCAGAATTACACTCATTATGAAAACTACCGCTCTTCGAAGAGCACATTAAAAATTTAGCTACCGAATTCTTTTCCAAAATAAACGCATCAAATAATGACCTTATTAAAATTATTTATTATTTAACCTTGTAAATATCTGAGCTCGGGTATGTGTTTGCTGTTGTGTTCCCAGAGCGTCACACATGCTTCTTCTGAATTTTATCAAGAATGGTTGATGGAGGAAATGAAATATTTTTAATTTTTATTGCATATTCAATGTGTATTTAAAAAATTATAGGTCTTAAATGCATTTTTAAAAAGCGTTTTTCAATATTTTTAGTGTATAAAAATTCTCTCTCTATTTAGGATTATTCTCCCCGGCCTTAAGGTCAAACACTTGTTTCATCGCAATACAATTATTTTGAAATGCTTCCCCTAGTGTTCAAAATATTGCTACTAAATTCATTTGAAAAGTGCTTTCCGCGGTTTATTCTCTACAGACAGCATTAGGAATACACCATCGAGAAACAAGCCGAAGTCTTCTGGACCGAGAAAATCCCAGGCGAAGAGTCGTTGGCTTGTGCTGCAGCGTCGATAACACTTTAGTTTCTGGCCGGGAAGGCCACCTTAACACCCCGGCAGGGCACGCCAAGAGAGGGGGAGGAGGTGGAGAGGGGGGAGGAATGCAAACGAGAAGCGGCTCATCACGCGCCAATCGACCGCAGCTCAGCAACGAGGCTCCGCAAACGACAGGCGCTCCGATCGCTCCGACAGCACCTCGCAGCGCCAGCGGTGTCGTCGTTTCTCGAACCGGAAGGTCCGAATGTTCCAACGTCCTAATGTTCTAACCTTCTGAGGTCCTAATGTTCTAATCTTCCAAGGTCCTAATGTTTTAAAGTTCGAATGTTTTAAGGT